CCACACACTAGACGCGACAGAACTCCCCCCCCCCCTTTCGTCGAAGATACATACCACAGCTAGAATCGGATACCAAACACGTATTCCCCACAGAAGACGCGACAGAAAACCCCCTTTGGTCGAAGATACATACCCACAGCTAGAATCGGATACCAAAAACGTATCCACACACTAGACGCGACAGAACTCCCCCCCCCCTTTCGTCGAAGATACATACCCACAGCTAGAATCGGATACCAAAAAACGTGTCCACATAGATGACGACAGGACCCCCCCCTTTTTTTCATCGAGATACATACCCACAGCTAGAATCGGATACCAAACACGTGTCCCCACAGAAGACGCGACAAACCCCCCCCCCCCTTTCATCTAAGATACATACCCACAGCTAAAACCGGATACCAAAACGTATCCCCAAAGAGGACGCGACAGAACCCCCCCCCCTTTTCGTCGAAGATACATATATATCAACCACGTATCCCCACAGAAGACGCGACAGAACCCCTCCCCCCCCCCCCCTTTTCGTCGCTTAGGAACCTCAAACGACGGGGCTTTTCGAACTACCCAAAGAACGGCGGTGGCGTGCTTGGCCTCGTGTGGTCAGAGACGGAGACACCACCAGCAAGGATAGGGGGGATAGGGGGTGGATAGGGGGATGGGGAGGTAGGGGGGATGAGGAGGGTGAGCGAGGGGTAAGGGTGGGGTGGAGGATAGGGAGGGGGGGTAGGGGGGATGGGGAGGGTGAGGGAGGGGGAGTTAGGGGGGATGGGAGGGTGAGGGAGGAGCAGTGGGATGGGGAGTGTGACGGGTGGGGGTAGGGGGGATGGAGGGTGAGCGAGGGGGTAAGGGTGGGGGGAGGATAGGAGGGTGAGTGAGGGGGTAGGGGGATGGGGAGGGTGAGGGAGGGGAGTTAGGGGGGATGGGGAGGGTGAGTGACGGGGAGTAGGGGAGGGGGAGGGGGAGTGAGGGAGGTAGGGGATAGGGAGGGGGAGTGAGGGGGTAGGGGGATGGGGGTAAGTGGGTGGGGAGGGTGAGTGAGGGGGTAGAGGGGATGGGGAGGGGGAGTGAGGGAGGTAGAGGATAGGGAGGGTGAGGGAGGGGGGTTAGGGGAAGCGGTAAGGATGGGAGGGGGGGGGTTGGGATAGGGGAGGGGTGCAGGTAGGAGGGCTTGAATAGCGGCCTTTGATGGAATGTTGCTGTGGTCTCTCCTTCCTCCTCCTCCTCCTCCTCCTCCTACTGACCCCACCCCCTTTTCCTTCACCACCTCCCCCTCCTCCTTCTCCTTCTCCTTCTCCTCCCCGTCTTTCTCCTCGTTCTCCTCTGCCTACATTCTTTTACGTATACTTCTATTCTCCTCCTCCTTCTTCTTCTTTCAACCCCCTCCTCCTCCTCTCCTCTTCTCCCTTTCCTTTCTCTCTGCCTCCTCCTCCTTCCCCTCCTCTTCCTCCTCCTCCTCTTCCTTCCTTCTGCAACACTATTCCTCAACCCTCTCCCCCGCAGTAGAGAAGGGAGTGGTGGAGAAAATAAGGAAAAATTAAGAGGGAAGTAGGAGCGAGAGAGTAGTGGAGAGGAGGAAGACGAGATCAGAGAAAGATAGGATTAGGAAAAAGAGAAGAAGAAAGAAGTGAAAAGGGGAAGAAGGGAGAAAAGAGAATTGTAAGGAAAAGGGGGAGAAGAGAGAAAAGAGAATTGAAGGCAAAAGGGGTACCGGAGAAGGGAGAAAAGAGAATTAAAGGGAAAAGGGGTAAGGGAGAAGGGAGAAAAGAGAATTGTAAGGAAAAGGGGGAGAAGAGAGATAAGAGAATTGTAGGGTAAAGGGTAAGGGAGAAGAGAGCAAAGAGAATAGCAGGGAAACAAGGGGTAAGGGAGAAGAGAAATGCATTAGCTTCGTCCCACGTCAAGACCCCGCGTCATCTCAGCCTCCACGAGGGTCCAGCATCCGAAACCCGGGCGTGCGTACGTAGGATAGAGGAGCGGCCTATCCTCAAGCCACCAGGACCGAGGGATTGATGAGAGAGAGGACCGCTTGCACTCCGCCTCCTCGACGCTGACCCCGAGGACTGGCGGCGCGCTCTCCGGAGAACTGGGAGGCGAGGCGATAGATGGCGTTCGAGTTCGCCTTCCTCGTTTTCTGTTCTTTTTACGGAATCTTAGTCTGTGTATTACTTTTTTTCCGAGGGGGGGGTTTTCGATTAATTTTATGAATGTGGACGGGGGAAATGGAAGGAAAGAGAAATGGGGGATTTTTTTTCTTTTTTCTCGCTTTATTTTATTTTATTTTTATTCGACGCGAGTTAATCATTTGGGGGATTCCGGGCGGCGAACTCGAACGCTCTGCCGGCGTAAGAACAGGGATACGAACGCGGCCGAGGTCATAAAAGCCCACGTCCAGCATGAGCCGCACCCAGTGGTTGACGGGATGTCCAGAGAGCTAAACTTCCCCCCACATCCAACTCCCACAGCTCATCTTAGCACTCTCTTACTCCCATCCCCTGGCCCT